ACTGTCCAATAGTATGGCAGAGATTAGCTGTAGTGTGAGCCTCAGTGTTATACGAAAGAACACGTCCTCTGCATCCCTTTAGATGTGCATGCTCCTCTGCTGGACACTGGGTGCTGCTGAGGTTAGCTGTGCAATCTGCTGCTCATTTGCTGGATTATAGTCTATGAAACCGATCAGCAGAATGCGCAGCTAAAGTCTGCAGAGCATGGCTTCCTCCGAGCGGGGAAACTGGAGCATGCGCAGTAAGCCCTCGTTCACACCTGAACGACGAACGCTCTACAAAACGCTCAAAAATATAAATCCCATTGTATTCAATGGTCTGGTTCCCACCTTGGCGTATTTCCGCCCGTCCCTAACGCGCTACAAAACGGCCCACGCCTGAAAAGGTACAGGTACCGCTTTGGGCCGTTTTGTTGCGCGTTTCCATTGGGATACAGCCCAGTAGCCTCCGGAAACGCGCGACGGTTGCGCAACTTTTTTTACCGCGAATCGCGGTAAAAAAAACGCGCGACAGACAACGCTGTAGTAAAAACACACAGCGTCATGGTCACACGGTGCACAGGGGGAGACTGAAGGTGCCCATACACCTGCCGATTATCGTACAATAGTTGTGGGTAATCCCGCGATCGTACGATAATCGGCAGGTGTATGCGACCGCCTCTACTGTACGGTCGCACGACTTTCGTCTTCCGAGAACGCTGGAAAACCTGCCGAAAATCGGACGATTTTGGGCGGGTTGGTGGCGTGCTCGGAAGACGAATGCCGCACGGGGCGCACACTGCCCGCTCAGCACTGCAATCAAGTAGGATCTGCCTGTCCAAGAGGGGGCGGGTCCTACAATATTTTAATCACCTTACAACCATTGCACAACGAAAGTCATGTGCTCGTTGTAAGGTGTATGGGCAGCTTCAGACGGATATTAAAAAGGAGAACTATGAGGAGGGAGGGGGCGGGTACAGCTGGCTCTGTCTCTAGATAGGAGGAGCCAGCTGTCACTCAAGCATCTGGGCGGATCCCGTCATCTACGCCGGGATCCGCTCCGGCTGCGGCGTCTCAGTATACCGCGAGCTGCAGCTCCCTATATACTGAGCCTAGGGTGACGGGAGGACGCTAGTTTGTGTCCTCCCGTTACCCTAAGGAGAACTATGGGGAAAAACACTGACCTCATACTTCTCCTTTAAGAGACAAACTAATTGAAGTCCAACTCCAGCTAAAATGTTGTAAGCGGTTACAGATTTTTTGGGGGAATAAAATAATACAAATAAAAGCTGACAGCTGCAGGCCCCCCCCGGCAGTCTTATATGGTTTGTCCCAACACCTCTGTCGTGTTATATGAACAGCTTGGTCTGCTGCAGGAAGTGGAAATACAATGTATCTTTTGGCGGGATCCACAGCCATTAAAACTCTATTACAAGGTTGAATCTGATCATTTGCTGTGTTCTGTAGATTGGATGAGTCTGCGAACACATTGCAGCCCGGCGATCCAAAGCGACGCGCACGGGCGGCCAGCAGTACCGACTCCCGTCACGCTCTGCCCGTCACATCTGCCCGTCCAGGAGCAGCCCGAGGAAGTGATTGGCGTATGTTATATATCGGGAATCCAGGAGTGAACCGTTTGTGTTCCGCGGCCGCCTCTCAGTATTCTTCTCCTTTCTCTCTAATATTTCGCGGTTTAGCCGATCGCCGCGCGGTAATAGCTCTGCCGTTGTGTAAAGTGGCAAATTGCTTTTTAGACCCCCCCCCCCCCCCCCCCACGCCCCCC